GTGTGTGTGTGTGTGTGTGTGTGTGTGTGTGGAGATTATCACACATTAACTAAAGAGCAACATTTAAAACTCAACGGTCTGATAAAAAGTAAAGAGTTTATAAAAGTCTGAAACACATTCCACTGAACATGTTGTAGAACATTGATTTAACAGTTCATATTAACATATTAATGATTCTGTCAAAATAAAAGCAGCTGAATTAACTGTGATCACTTCCTGTTCGCACTGAATCACTGTGAAACTGAAGGAAACTTCTGTTCACTCTGATTTCTCACTGGATCACTGGTTTGTTCTTGATGACATCACGCTGATGTCATCCCCACGTGTCTCATGTGCATATGGATGAAGCGTGTTAATATTTGTGGCCTATGAAGCTCATGTAGTTGGAGTCAGAGTTTGTAAAGTGTCTTCTTCTCTTCTTACCCTGGGTGGCGACGTAGTTATTGGGTCTGTGGTATCCCTGAGTCAAGAGAAGAAGAACAACAACATGTAAGTTACATGTCACAGTCTGAGGTCAGAGGTCAAACAGCTGAGACCACATCAGATTCAATATAAACCAATATGTCCTCAGTATGATGGTATGAATCTGAACCTGGTCCTCACAAAGACACAAAGACACACACACTCACTGAGTGTCAGGAAGTTTGTTTACAGAGTCGACACCAACCAACCCTGACTGATGACGACTGTCGGCATGGAAACAGAGTCAACCAGGAGGTTTCACTTCGACTGTTAAAGGAGCTGAGAAAACGGAGTGTGTGCGTGAGTTACTTACGTCCACATAGTTAGCGTTGATGTAGTCGGACCCACTCTCTCCGTCCTGAGGCTGCAGCCGCACACGGGAGTGATCATCTAACACACACACACACACACACACACACACACACACACACACAAGATTATTTTCTGCACAATAAATAATCAAATAAAAAATCAATGACCGGTTCATTAGACTCAACTAAACTAGCAACAGTTACGTTCAAACGTTATGAATCAAAATGTGAATTCATATAAAACTAATAAAGAATAAACAATTGAATCACATTAAAACATGAAATTATGAAAGAAGTGAGTTGAATAAAATCTTCAGCTGCTGCGTCACATCAATAAATCATGAAACAGTGAAGGGGAACGAGCAGCAGGTCGTCTGACGTCTGTCAAACATCACCTGTCTCCTACACTTTCACTGTGTGACCAACACTGATACACTGATGCTGCCACAGTGCCGCTGAGCTAGGCAGTAACTATCAGCCTCTGATCTTCAGATCCAGGTGATGGAACCCGTCAGGTACGTACAGGCGATGATGTTTCCGTAGCGGTTCTTCATGCGGTTCTCGTCCTTTTTGGCAGAATCCCAGGGAGCGGACTGTCCCTCAAAGAAACTCTGCAGGAGACAAAGAGACAAAGAGACAAAGAGACGATGTGAAAACAGAACAGGAACTGAGTCGACTTGATGAATAATTCAGTGTGTTTGATTTTCTCTTCTCTCCCTGAACAAACACACAGACGATGGTTTTATGGTCAGAGCAGATGATTATGTCCAATTATGAGATGGAGCAGAGACAGACAGCAGAGACAGACAGCAGAGACAGACA